TACTTTGCAAAACTTTGCAGATAATTGCAAAAAAAGGGATTTCAGAATTTTACAATGGAACATTAGGTAAATTTTTGGTACAAGATTTACAAGATAAAGGAAGCATTATAACAATGAAAGATTTAAATAATTATAGGTAATTAAAATACAAATTATTTATCAATAATGAATTGCAATTTATAAAAAATTACATATTTTAATCATTGAAATTATTTCTAGAGTAACGTGGGATGAACCTCTTGTATCAAATCTCACTAATGGAATGAAATTATTCACAGTCGGATTGCCTGCGAGTGGAGCTATTCTCACCTATATTTTAAATATCTTCGACAGATTTAATTTTACACGTGATAGTATAGCTGATTTTAATCGAACTACTCTTACATATCATCGAATGATAGAAACGTTTAAATACGCTTACGCGTTAAGAAATGATATGGGTGATAAAGAATTTGTTGATATGAAAGAAGTTAGTAAGCACTGCAATTTAATAAACAAATATATTCTCTATTATTTCGAAGCTTATTATATATATATCACAAATTTAAAAATAAATAAATATATATATATATATATTCTAAAATTTCTAAAAAGAAATACTATTATATGAAAATTTAGTATAAAATTAAATTTGTAATATTATTAATTATATATTATTTTTAATGTCATTTTATTTAAGCTAACAAAAAACTTGACATCAAAGATTCATGCAAAAAAGACACAAATGATGATAGATGATTATAAAACTTGGAATGATTCCGCGCATTATGGAGCACACACAATAAGCAATGCAAAAGATCATGGGACTGCCCATGTTTCGGTATTAGCTCCAAATGGAGATGCAGTATCAGCTACTAGTACTATTAATTTCTAGTATGTTTACAAACATATGAAATTTTTATATAAAATTTTCTCTTAATTAATTTTAATTAGAATTAATATCACAATAAATTAAATGAACAATGTTAAATTTAAAAAATTATGTTTTTATTAGTTTCGGAAGCGGAGTAGTCAGCGAAAATACCGGAATATTATTAAATAATGCAATGAACGATTTTGGTATACCATCAACAATTAGTTATTTTGGAATTCCACCCAGTCCGAACAATTATATCGCTCCGGGGAAAAGGCCATTGTCTTCTATGGTACCTTCAATTCTTGTCGACTCAAATGACGATGTAAGAATGGTAATCGGTGCTTCTGGTGGTACTAAAATTACTACAACAGTTTCTCAGGTCAGCATTTATCAATTAATTATTATTATTATTATTTTGTATATTTCATAAATATCATTCGATGATTAATAACATAATTAAAATATGATGAAAAGAAATTATTTCGTTTTATTTTAATTGAATTTAAATCATTTTATTTATTTTATTTCTGTGACTTATTTTTTTCGTCTTTTTAATTCTTATATTTCATTTTCATATAATATTTTAAATATTTAATCCTAACAAATTAATTTTATCAAATATATTTTTTAAAATGAATTATCTATAGATAATAGCTAAGATCATATGGATGAATCAAACGGTAAAGGAAGCTGTAGACGCTCCTAGAATACACCATCAGTTATTCCCACCAGAGATGAATTACGAATACGGCGTGCCAAAGCCAGTAATTGATAATTTACAAAAATTCGGGCATGTAACTTCTCGTTACAGAGTTCGTGGTAGTGTGGCTTGTGTCATTTTTACCGAAAACAATACAGTATATGCGAATGCGGACTACCGAAAAGGAGGAGACGTATATGGACTTGATTAAACTTTATAAAATAAATAATTATGAGTGAAACACAAATGCTATCTTCCAATATATAAATCGCTAACAAGTGTTGATCATAAATGTTGTTCGAGTTCTCAGTATTAAACTCTTCAACATTTGATCTTAAAATTATATAACGTTATACATATAAAGTTATAAAACTTCTTTTAAAGAGAAATTTTCCATGATAAAATATATTGTGATATTTGTTCTATGTTGATTTATGCGAAATTAAAATTCTTCAATAAAACTTTTACATATATTACTTTTTTATATTTGATTTTTTTTTCACAGACTTTAGTTTGAAAATCATTAATCATTAATAATATTAATAATCTTTAGAAAATTTTTATATAATTATTGGTAAAAATATTCTGTTATATCTTTATAATTGCAACATAATTATTCTGATTAGTTGAGTGAATAACTGCAATATAGATTTTAGTAACTTTACTCAACTGAATAAGATTCTATCTATCATTATCGATCCATGCGGAAATTCATATGTAAAGTTTCCGCTATTAAGTAACAACTAAACTGCATAACAATGAATATCATATTTTTTTACAAGATTTATTAAAAGGATGATATATTAATATTTATAAAAAAGTTAAAAATATTATGCAATCAATTTAGAATATTATTTATGAAGTAATTTGAAATAAAAATTGTTTTTTGAATAATGAAATATTAACCTTGAAAATTATTTTATATTTTCTTTATATATCTTAAATCTATATAATCTAAGTTATTCGAGGAATATGAATTTAATGTACATATATATTCGAGATTTTGATCAATAATATACTCTATATATTTATTTAAATATACAAAAATTTCTTATAAAATACTACATTGCATAAAATATATATAAGCTGTTATTATATAATACTATATAGTTACTAATATATTGGTTATATTTATAATTCAATAAATTATCAAAATATCTTTTATAAATATTTTTGAAAAAATTATAAATTATTATATACTCACATTTTCTAATTCTAATTTCTAATTTTTCAAATTGCAAAATATATAATGTATATTATACTGGCTAAATATATATTCATTATTATAATATATTATATGAATTATATATTATGGATATAAATTATTATAAATTATTAATTGTTATTCACATATCTCTTATTGAAAAAGGAGTTTGAAAAAACAAATTATAATTAAAAATATTATTAACTCAAAAAATGAGTTGTAATAATATTTTTTAATTCCATTTGAAATATTTGATATTCCATTATATTATAAAAAATTATATTACATTATAAAGAATATATTAAAAATATATCATAATATTATAATATTAAAAATATATATATATATTATATTATAAAGAAAGAAATTTAAAGAAAGTAATTTTCATTTTTTTACTTAACAGTTTCTAAAAATATAATTAAATCTTTAAAAAATATCTCAACTCTATATATAGAAAAAAGTAAATATATCGATATATTGAAAATAATGTTAATTGAAATATAGTGTTAAGAACACTCTTGCAGCTTCATTGTTGATATATATTTATTTTTGTCGATATTTCTATTTGTGTGCTATTGATCAACTTGATTAACGGAATTTTATATGTATGCGATATCCTTTCAATCGATTGTAATTTTACGAAGTCGATAGTAGTTTCGACTGACCTTTCATTTGACATACTGCGTATAAATTTTTATGTATGGATGATATAAATATAGTCATATATGTCAAATCTATTAAATGAATTATAATTTCTATTATTATAAACTTGAACAATATTTTATAAATAATTTTAAAAAACACAATATTCCTGTCAATAACATATTAATCACAATTCGTTATCATAACAACTTTCAAGAAAAAAAAATGTAAAGACCATTATCGATTTTTAAGTCTATTAAATTTTAAAATTCTTTTCTCATTTTTTTTAAAAATATTTCTCATATATTATATTATATTTACATACAATATTTAAATATTTTTTAATAAATTGTGAATAAATTGAAATTAAAAATAAACCTATAAATTATAATAAATAATATAAAAAAAAATCTGCGTTTTATTATTACAATTACAATGTAAATATAGATATTATGTATAATCTAACACTGCATAAAAATATATAAATATAAATGTATATATTATGTAAGCATAATTTATATTTTTTCATACATATGGATTTAATTAATAAGGATAATTAATAATAAGGACAGATTTTTCGGTAACTTACTTGGATTCAAATGATATTGAGTCGATTTCAAGATAATCAATCTGAAATTTCATCACTATAAATTATATTTTTTAACTTACATCATTTTTCTATAATATATAAAATAAAAAATATGTTTGACACCAATTGCTTTATCATGCCGCAAGTGAATATTTTTACATTCTTTCTATATCTTTTAAGATATGTCAGTGAACATGATAAGTGCAAAATATACGTCGACATTTTGTTTATAGTGGTAGGGATACTTCTAGAAGTCATTGTAACAAGATGCTGATTGCGCGTGCGTAATGGATCAATGTTTTGTTTGTTGTCAAACATACAGATTATATCATATAACAGAAATTTGATATATAAATCTAGAGCTATACAAGCATACATTTTCCACAAAGTTATGTCTAATTTCGAATATATGAAAACTTGAATCAATATTAATATTTTAAAACAGGAGAAAGATATATTACCAGGGCTGTCTATATCATGAAATTACATATTTTAAATTTGTACATAAATTTCTAGTATAATTACATGAGCTTAATTAATTATTTTTGCTCATAGATTGTTACATTTTAACATGCAAGATTATGCATATTTAAATTATTTAAAAATATAAAAAGTATTGAAGTATTAAATAGTAAATAATTTATAAAATAAACTATATTTTAACGATTGCAAATGTTAATATCTGCGATTAATACAAACAAGAATATTAACAAGAATATTAACAAGAATATTTTTTTAGAAATTTTAAATTCTAATTCTTTGATATATGATCTTATTAAACTTTCATTTATTAAATTTTAATATTATTTAATAATATTTATTAGAAAAGTTAAAATTTATTTTTTTATTTTAGAAAAATTTAATGAAAAATTGGATTAAAATAAGAAATAAATAAAAAAAGAGATTTAATTTGCTAAAATAATTCTTATATCAGGCATTTAAAATACTAGAGCCACTACTGGATGTTGCGCTTGCGTAGAAGTTCTTTGGTAGCCTATATAACAGTTGCAATCAACGGTGTCCTAATAGTTTGAAGTAAACGTGTGATAAGGAGAGATTTTTCGTTTGCATTCTACGCTATTATTTTTTTGAATACTTTTTCAGAAAACAAGAGCTATGTCTGACTATTACGTTGACGAATACGAGCATTTCAATTACGATTACGACAAGCATATCTTTACCGGTCATAGTGGAAAACAACGAAGCAAACGCGAAGCTCTTACACATACGAATCATTTTGATCCGTGCGGCCATTCTAGAAAGATCCTTACTAAATTGATGAATTCTGAACATAATAAGCGAAATGTTGGAAAGACTAAAGCATAAACAGTAAGTAACAATTTTTTAATTGCGACGTAATTGTTAACGATACGTATTACTTGTTACGTTATTGATTTGAATGCAACCGGAAAGTCTGAAACCTTGGCCGAGTTTGTATATGTTTACATTCTTGTTTTTTTCACAAGTAATTTTAAATCGTAGAAGCACATTTATCATATTTCTTGATTTGAAGATAAATAAATTGAAATTAATTATTGTATTTTCGATTCCGTATTATTAATATACGTTTGTTAATTATAACGACTTGTTAAAATTTTTTTACTTCTTTTTTTTATCTACTGCGCAATATTTTAAAGGTGACTCATTTCTTGAAAATTTTACTTTTGTAAAATGATATATAAAAAAATATATAGGAATATTTATTATATTTGAAAGTATTAATATAAATTCTTGAAAAATAATATTTATTTGAGAATAATTTATTATTATTAAAATAATTTTTTATCAATTATTTAATATTATATTTTTGATTAGTATTAATGATTTATTATTTGTTTTAGGAACTCAGAGATTACTGTTCTGCCCTGAAGTTGCTGTTTTTGAAAAAAGTATTTGTCAATTCCAATTAATTAAAATTTCTTGAACATTTTTGAATATGATAACAATTTTTTCATTTCTTTTATTCTTAGTAATGCATTTAGTTACTAAACATAAATTTTTACTTAGGATAAGATAATTAGTATTTAGTACAAATATTATCTTACAATTATTACTATTATTCATATTATATATTGTGATTTTAAAATATATATAACTATTTCCTAATTAGATTACTTTTAATCCAGAATTGCCTGAATCTGGAACTTTCATCACACATTAGTATACAGATATATCTGTATTAAATTTATATATACTGTACAAATTTTCTAAATTTTGTGCATTTAAGTGATTATAAATGTTTTATTTAGTTGGTATTGGAACTCAATTGCTCAATTTAAAAATCAGAAATATATATGACAATGTGAAAATATTTTATTTGATGTGAATATTAAGAGGAATGCATTTTTTTTTCATATTATGAAAAATTTTTGTTACATTTAAAAAATCAATTTTAAGTTTAGTAAAAAATAGAAATATTAAATAAAAATGATTGTATAATTTTGAATAATAAAGTTTATAATTAAAGAAAGTGTTTAAGTAATAATTAATTTAAATCCATTTCCATATGAAATATTAATGTAGAATATAATAAATTCATTGCAAATATGTCAGACTTTATACAAATTAAAAAAATTTTTTTTTTGTATTTTATATATTAAAATTGAATATTGCTTACATTATATTAAAAATATAAATTATATCTTAAAATATAAAAATTCTATTTATACAGTGAAAAAAAAAATACAGTTTAAATCTATTCAAAATTTTATATACATTTATAAAGCATCTTTAGAAGATATACATATATATATTTATATATACATGATATATATATTACAAAATTAAGATACATTATATTAATTACACAAGATGTACTTCTGATTTTATATTCATTTTATATATATTCATTTGAAAATATTTAAAAGATATATATATATAAAAGTAATTTGCACATTTTTACCATATTAAAGGAATTTGAAAAATTAATTATATAATCTAAATTCATTAAATTCCAATTCTTGTCTTAAAATACCAGTTAATATAAATTCTGTTGATTGAATGGTAATATTTTTAGGTGCTTTTGCAAGAAATTTTTTCGCATTTATCAAATCTTCTTTATTAGAAATAATCATTGCTTTTTCAGGCCAAGATGATGGTGGTCGAAGTAAAGCTTTGCCACCACATGAAATAATTATACCTATAACAAATATGTTTTTTAATGTATATTTTCTATTTCTACTTGATTGAAATTTTATTTTTATTAATAATTTTATTATTTCTATAACATACTTTTTAATTCTGGAGGTGGTGGAGCTATATTAGGAGTTAAAATAAGTGTGTATCCTTCTAAAAGCTTATATTCTTTCGCTTTTTCTAAGCTTTTCTTTAATTTAAAATGAAATTTAGCTTCAGCTTCAGGATCTTCCAATATATAACTTTCTAATTCTTCAAAATGGCCAATTTTTTCACTATCATGCAACCAATTAGTTGAAACTATTGGTATAGATAGTGCTAAAGCACATAAAAATTTAACAGTTCTTCGTATTTTGTCTGTAACCAATACAGTGCATTTTGTTGGATCTTCAACTTGAGATGCGCCTGTAAAAAAAAAAAAAAATTAATTAATTATACAATACAATTATTTCTCATTATATTTCTTTACAATAAAATTTAATACATACCCAATTTTGTTAATAATTTACTATAATCATTACTTGAAATACCTGTAAATAAAACTTTATGTTTTATTTTAAATGGTGATGATGTTGCAAATGAAGAACACATACTTCTACGTGTTCTATTGGGTGTAGAAGTTAGTGATTTAACTTCAATGCTGGAATTTGTTTCTGAATTTGTTTCTTCTATGAAATCCATTTTTTTCTTCTTATTGCTTTCAATCTTTTCTGTTGTTTGTCTTTGCCGCTTATTTCTTAAATTATTTATTTTGTTTGTATTGTTAGTTAAAGTGGTTTGATTAGTTTCCATACTTCTTTCCATAGAAGAATCAATAATTAATTGTTCATGAGTTCGAGTTGATCTAGTGGACTGTTTATTTTTTTTTTTCGTTTCTATATGTTCATTAACAATTTTTGTATTTTCATCTGTAGAAGAATCTATGGTTGGTTGTTGATGAGTTTGGATTAATCTAATAGATTGTTTGCTATTTCTTTTTTTTTCTGTACTTTCATTAATAATTTTTTTATTTTCGTCTATAGAAGAATCTATAATTGATCGTTGATGAACTCGAGTTGATCTAGTGGAATGTTTGTTCTTTCTTTTCATTTCTTTAACGGATTCATTTTTTAATGTATTAGTTATATTTGATTTATTTTTTGACATCTTCATATATTTAATTTTTGAAATGGGAATTTCAAAATTTGCATTATCAGATTCATATATAATAGATGATGTACTACTACTTTCCGTGTTATCAGCATTCATATGAATATTTTTATGTTTTCTACTGTTTCTGGTTTTGATACTTACTGCATTGTTGTCTACGTCTTTTTTTGTTTCTATACTTTGTTCTTTAAGGGCATTGTTCATGATCATTTCTATTTCTTGAGATTCCTCTCCTATTTGAGAACTAATTTCGTCTATTTGAAATTCGATTTTTTGTGCTTTTGTATTTTGATTAGTTTTCTTGTTTTCTATAGACACTTGATCATTTATAATATTTGTACGTTGACTATTTTGCTTATTTTTATGTTTATTATCAATTATCTCTCTCGTTGGAGTACTTGATATCGATCCTGTTGGAGTATAAACGGATATTTTTTCAATTTTTATTATTGGCTGCTTATCTAAACTTATGTCTTCATCAGATAATAATTTTCTATTGCATGAGATTGACGAGTTTTTCGAAGAACTAATATTAAGAGTATTTGCAGATTGTCTTCTGCCAGTTATCTTATTCATTTTTTTACTTTTAGTGTTAACAAACTCATTTTCTTTAATATTATTTTTATGCTCTTTGGAATTGTTAATTTCAATCGTATCCGTTATACTAAGCGATTTTTTTTTAATACGTGTATTTGGAAGATTTCTCTCTGCAGATTCACCAGCTACTTTCTTAACTAGTGCTTCTTTTTCCACCTGAAAAATAGATGAATGATCAATATTCTCTTTGCTCGAATTACGAGTCCTTCTATTGGTAAAAATAAAAGGACTTTGTCTTGCTTTTTCTTGTGAATTGATAAAGGCTACCGATTTTGGTGAAATATTGCTTTCTTTGGATTTATGTAAATTTTCTGGATTTGTCTTTCTTATTGATTCTTTTGTTTTTTTATTTTTCTTTTTTTTATTGGTTTCTTCTACTGATATTCTATCATCATTGAAGTTGTTTGAAAACGAATTTGAAAAATTTTCCAAAATAGTAGAATTTGACTTATTAATAGTATGATCAAGTTTTGTGTTTTGTTTGTTTTTTGTGTGATTAAACGTTTTTCGTGAAGATCTTTTTCTAGGCGCAATTTTTATGGATATTTGTTTCGTTCGATTATGATTAATATTTATTCTATATTCAGATGACGTTGACGAAGTTGGACTTGTTGGATATGTACCTGCAATTTTAACTTCAGGTAAACCAGCTAATATATCATCATCGTTATTTTCTAATACTTTAGAAGTTTGTTGAAGTTGACCATTATCAATTGATATATCCAAAACTTGATTACCTATATTTTCTGAATCTGCTTTATTTTCTTTAAATATACGTTCTTTTTTCTTATTTTCTTCTTGTATTGTGTTAACTATTTTAGATTTTTCATGTTCTATTTTTGTAGATGATTTTGGTATCGATAAATCTTCAGGAATGTTATCAATACTTTTTAAATTAGATTTTTTACTTAATTCTAAATTCGAACTTGGATCTATTGTTTTATTATTTTTTTCTTTTATAGATTTCTCAATGTTGCAATCAATTGAATTATCATTTATATTAAGATTATTAGTGGATGATTTATTCTCGCAGTGCGAAGTTTCTAACATATTTTTAAGAAACTGAGTTGATATTTGCTGCTGTTCTTCACTATGCTCTTCATTTACATCTTCAAACATTGCGTTTAAATTTCTTTCTATAGTATCATCTAAATTTATATTATTTGATTTCTCGGATAAATTCAATATGTTTTGACTCTTATTAATAACTGATACAGATTTTCGCATTTCTCTATCATTGATTGGCTGAGTAGCAGCCATTTCATAATCGATGTTTTCAATACTAGATTCTGTATTTAATTTTACAGAAGTCAAAGAATTAGAATACTTATTATTATCTATATTTGAACTTTTTTCTATAATATTAATTATTTGAGTAGGCGTATTATCTTCCATTTCAGTAATATTTTCATCATCGGGAATTATTTTATTTTTTGTTGAGGCAAGAGAATTCATTTCTTTAGAAGAAGATTTAATTGTTGAAAGAACTTGAGTTGGTGTAAAATCATCTTGCTCTACTTTTGTATCTTTAATCTTTTCTTTTATTTCAATATCTTTATTTATTTCTGAATTATTTTTCTTATCAATTACTTGTGTTGGAGTATCAAAATTTATTTCTATTTCATCTACAGTATTCTGTGTTTTTTCATCACATTTGGGCAATAAATTTTTATTCTTTTTATTTATTGGCTGAGTAAGCATGTTAAACAGATCCTCAGAATCTTTGCTTGAATCATTTTTAATTTCTTTATTTCTATTTCGGTTTTCAAACGAATTGGAAGCAGCTCGCTTTTCCATTGCAGCCATTTCTATAAAACGACCTTCTTCATCGGTAAATGAATCGTCACTCTCAGATATTCGAATTATTGAAGATTTTTCATTCTTTTTATTTTCTTCAAAAGAATATCTTTGAAATACACATTCATTGTCAGTTTCATCGGAATCATTAGGGTCGATTAAAGAAGTTTTAAACGAATAATTAACGCGATGAGTTATATCTTTATCAATTTGATTGATCTGTGTTGCTGCTTCAAATATGTTTTCACTGTCAGTGCTTTTATTATTTACATCTTCGTCATTGTTTACGCACGAAGTTTTTAAAGGAGTTGATGATCTTGATTTTGATTCATCAAGTAAGTCATCGTTGTCATCATCATCAATTAAATCTTCTAATAAACATTGTGAACCAAGTAAATTTCGACTTGTGTCAAGTTCCGAAAGTTCATTTTCAAAATTTGTTGCAATTGATGACTGTGAACATTTTTGCGAATTCTTCTGCAAATTTTTCTTAATATTTCGTTTATGTTCAATTTTATTTTCACATTTATTAGTATCATTAAAATATGATGTACTTGCAATAGCTTCGTCTTTTTGTATTATAGTATTATTTTCTTTTTTCATAATTAAATTTCCATCTTCTTCAATTCCTGTTTCAGTTTCAAATTTTTCATTATCTTGTGTTTTATCATTAGGAGATTTAGCATGAATTTTTTTCGGTGTTTTCATATCATGAATATCTATATCGTGTTGCGTTTCTATATCATGAATATCAATAACATTTTCTTGCGCATTTATTTCATTTTGCGTTTCTATATCATGCATATTAACTTTTTGCTCGTTTAAAGATTTTGAAAAGATTTCTTTATTATTCAAGCGAATTTTTTGAGTTTCAACATCGTGAACATCAATGTTTGTTCCATTAAGAGACTCGAATGATTTTTGTGTTTCCATATCATAAATATTAATTCTTGATACACCTACATTTCGTTTCTTTTCTGCATCAGAACTTTGGGAATTGTCCAAATTATTAACAGAAGAATTCTGAAGATCATTTTTCCGAGTGCTGCTAGTCGAAATCCTTGCAGGCATCGGATTTGGACATCGAAAAATGGCTTCTTTCTCATTAGTTTGAATGGCAGGAATCATAGAAATGTTTTCTCCCAATGTGGACGAATTATTCTATATATAAAATCATATATTTATATGATACAATACATACAAATTTATCGTAATTAAGCAAATAATAATTACCAATGATGAATCAGGTGTTCCTGGAATGATCAATTTCTGTATCTTTTGACGGGATAATGCTGGAGTTTCTGGAATTAAAGATTCATCCATTGAATGATAGAATTTAAATACTGCTCGCACCATGCCAAACTCCAACACGTTTCCATTTTTAAGCTCATAGAATCGATTTGGCCTTAGATATGACTAGAGAGAGACAAAAAAAATATATTAAATCATTAAAAAATTTTATTTGCTTAATTATTTCTTAACTAGCAAAGTTTCATGACGTTATATACAGTGCTGTGAAATGATAATGATTAATTATTAAATAATTTAAAAAAATATTAACTCTTATTATTATTATATTATTATTATTATATTATAAATATTTATTAATTTTAATTAATTTTATCAATTTATCAATTTTTATATATTAGTAAAAAAAAAAATTAAGAATGATTACGAAATAATTGAAATTATAAAATTTTTATTAAAAATTTCTACTGCATAGAATAAATCAATTAAATTTGATAAATAATTAACATTACAAATATTTAAAATAATTAATATTACATTACACAGATAAAATTTACATTACGTTGTTCAATTTTGTTTTGTTTGAAGAATTTAGATCACAAATCCATACGGCTGTTTCATGATTATTAGCTTCGATTTCTGCATGTCTTTTAGATACCGTCTGTAAATTAAATTAATCCATTTTATATTTATTACAATTTTATGATTAGAGTTACAGAATAATATAACATTTTATGTAAAATTTAATTTTCATAACTGATATATTATATTAAACTAATTTTTCATATGACTTCAATATTTTTATCTATTATGCATAATTAAAATTTGATTTAAATATGAAATAAATTATCCGTTCTATTTTTATTTCATTATTTTAACTATGATTATGAACTACTTAAGTTTAACATGTATAAATATAATTATGTACAATATTTTGTACATAATTTTATGATTACATTATTTTCTATTTATTGAAATTTAGAATAATATAATATAAAATAATATAAAATAAAATTTTGTTGAAAGAAGCTTTACAATTAATAATTTATCTCATTATATGTATAATACCGAAAAAATAAAATAAAATATATGATTATAAATTTTTTTAAATATTATCAATATAAATACCAATACATACAACAAGTATTTTCTTCTACTTTTATCACTGTTATTTAAAAATTTTATATCTTAATGTATACTTTATATAGATAATTTATGTTTATGCAAAAACTGTTTTATCAGTAAAAATATGATTAAATCATATTTACTTAACATATATATAGAATAGATAATTTTATTTCACTTTATTACATATTCTAGAAATGAAATTTTTAGAAATGGCAATAAGAAATGCAGACGAATAATAAAATCAATGAAAAAATAAAAATTAAAAAAGTATTTTTAATACTGTATTATAAATATTTAAAATTTTAGTAGTTTTTGTTTATGCAAAAAAAAAATATAGGTACTAATTAATAATCTTATAATGATAAAAATAGCATAAAATAGTATGCAAACATTTCTATATATAATTTTGTTCAAATAAAATTTTTAATTATATATATATATATATATATATATATATCTTCCAATTATATATACTACATTATTACATAATGTAGTATCATGAACTAATTTCACCAATTTTTAAAAATATCTAAACTATTTAAAATAATTATTAAAATAGCATTATCAAAACAGTATTACTCGAAAAACTATTAATAGTTTAGAAATAATGATTAGAAACTAACAGAAAACATCATTTATTGAATTCAAGTGAATCATTCAGTAATTATTTTAATTGCTATGATTACTGATTTTATTAGTATTATTACTTTAAATCTCGAAGTTGATTAATAATAATTTATTTAATTATACTCAGATGATCTCGCGTTCAATAGCATAGCATTAAAATGATTGAAGTAATTCAAACTTCTTTTTTCTCTTTTTATTTAAATGCATCTTATCATGTTGGCTAATAAAAGCAAACAACTATATCAATATCTATATATACTACGTAATAATCATGTTATGATTCTTTATCTTCAAT